TGTTTTTTTTATTTGTGTTACCTTATAAGTTTTTACTGGGTGAACAGATTTCGATGATTCTTTTTCTATTTGAAAGCTAGTGCCTCTCATATGGCCCCATATAAATTTAATCAAGATTTGAGTAATAGTTTTTGAGTTATTCTTAATTTATATTAAAATTAATAGTAAAATTTTTTTAATATTATGTACTGGAATCTCAGTTACGTTATTTTGAATTTGCAGCGAAAGTTAGAACTTCGGTTAGTTTAATTTCCGGGCTCTGTAAATTCCGTTTTAAGCGGGTATTGCTGCACATTCTCATAGTAATATAACTACTGTGGTTAACAATGCCTTTAAAGTAGATGGTATACGCGTTCGCAAATACATAATGACGTATGAGAATGATGAATTGCCGTGTCGTGGATAGAATATCCACTACCCCATTTCATCCGTTTATTTCGCCGTTTCTTCTCCTTTCAATGAATACTCATTTAGAAACAGTAATAGATTTAGTAGATTTTAAAAATAACATATGACAAACCAAATTTTATTTTATTACGTTCAAAAAATTTGATATTTTTCATTTCATTTAGGCCGTAGCATGTTCTTGATAATACGTTAAAATAATAAAAAAAAACGACGTTTGTCAATTTACCCGCCGAACGTGGCGACTATGGCGAATATCTCCACGGCTAAAGCAACCGAAGAGGGAGACTGTTAATAGGCTGAAATGAATATGAAAACCCAATGCAGATGGAAATGGGAAAGATGGGAAACCCATATGAGGAAGGTTAAAGTCACTCAGCGAGTTATGCAGAGGGCTATGCTCGAAAATTTGCTGCATGATATAATTTTTAATGAAAATGAATCAGAGTAACCGACATAGCCGAAGGGGTCAGTAAGCTGAAGGCAATGGACCGGCTATATAGCTCGAAGAACCGACTACCGATGGGGAAGTAAGATTCTTAATTATCAGTCTCGTACCGATGATTGCAGTGGCAGGCGGGCATTTAGGAAGTCGATGTATACAGGTGGCTAAGGACCGTGATTTGAGGCAGTGGTTGGGGGAGGCTCTTTGTTCAGCAGTGAATGTGTTAGGAGCTATTATGATATTTTTTATAGGCTAAGGGTGACAAACCAGCACACAGTCCACCTGCTGGTAAGTGGTTGCTGTGACCCTTAGATATCTACATCTATCCTCGATTGCAAACCAAAATGCAGATGCGTTGTCGCCCGTGAGGGCTAAGATAGAATGCCTTGTTTCCAGTAAAAAGGGTCTCCGATTCTCTTCACTGACCATACGAAACACAGTTAAGCTGCTATTTTACGCTGGTATTCTGTGAGAGTGTGGTCCTTTCCCAGTCGAGCCTACCCATTCGTGCTACAACTATACCAGTAATATAGCTGTAACATGGCTCTACCACATAAAATAATTTCTGATGATATTAAATTAGATAATATTCTATGGGCTGCAGTTAATCACTTACCATCATGTGAACTGTAGGTTTGTTTGTTACTTCAGTCTTATAAAATATAATTAAAAATTGAAAATTTTGAATAACCGATTTCAATACATATCATTAAGGATAACTCAAAAACTATTGTATGGACCTTAATCAAATTTATGACAGTACATGAGAAGTACCCGCTTTCAAATAAAAAAAATCATCAAAATCGGTTCACATAGAACAAAGTTATGAGATTTTTTTTTTAATAGGATAGGGGGCAAACGAGCATGCGGCTCACCTGATGGTAAGTGACTACCGCCGCCCATGAACAACCGCAACACCAGGGGAATTGCAGATGCTTTGCCGGCCTTTTAAAAAGGAGTAGGCTCTTTTCTTAAAGGTCCCTAAGTCGTATCGATTCCACAAGGAAGTCGTGCGAGGAAGAAAACATATTCTAAATCGCACAGTGGTGGACCGCCAATCATCCAGATGGTGTGGATGGTATCGGGAGTTCTGCCGCGATGTGCGTTCATGAAATTTGGCGGCTGGGATTAATCCGAACAATTCCTCAGAGCACTCCCCATGGTAGATGCGATAGAAAATGCAAAGAGATGCAACATCTCTTCGCAGTGCCAATGAATCGAGCCGATCGGAAAGGGCTCGGTCGTCGACGATTCGAGCCGCTCTGCGCTGGATGCGGTCAAGTGGAAGGAGCTGGCACTGGGGAGCCCTTGCCCAGAGATGGGAACAGTATTCCATGTGAGGCCGAACCTGCGCCTTGTAAAGTTGCAGGCGGAGTGCCGGCATGAAATACTGTCCCGCTCTGCTGAGCACGCCAAGCTTTTTAGAGGCCAATTTGGCCTTCTCTTCCAAGTGACCACGAAACTGCACGTCACTCGATATGTCGACTCCGAGGATACCGATACTAGCTGAGGCAAGAAGGGGAGTGCCTTGAAACTGAGGAGATCCGACAAAGGGGTTCTTTTTAGCGGTAAACGCGCAAAACTTGTGTCTTCTGAGGATTAAACTGGACTAGATTTAGTCGCCCCCAATCCGAGACTTTGTCCAGCAAAGACTCAACTTCAGACACAAGTTTGTTCCGGTACTCGGCGACGTTTTCCCGAGAAATATTGGCCCGGCCGGTGTATAGAGCATCACCAGTGCTGTCATCCGCATAGCAATGAATGTTACCAGTTAGCAATATATCATTGATATGCAGAAGAAACAGCGTTGGTGATAGCACACAGCCTTGTGGAACACCAGCGTTAATAGGCTTGTAGTCAGAACATGCACCGTCTACAACGACCTTGATGCTCCGATCTGCAAGGAAGCTGGTGATCCAATTGCACAATTTCTCGGGAAGCCCATAGAAAGGGAGCTTCGAAAGAAGCGCTTTGTGCCAAACCCGATCGAAGGCCTTCGCAATGTCCAGACTAACGGCCAACGCCTCCCCCTTGGACTCTACTGCCTCCGCCCATCTATGGGTCAGGTAGACCAGAAGATCACCAGCTGATCGACCCCGACGAAAACCGTATTGGCGTTCACTAACCAGCTGGTGATCCTCAAGGTACCGGATGAGCTGGCAGTTAATAATGGATTCCATTATTTTGGAGAACAAGGAGGTGATCGCGATAGGCCTATAGTTGGACGGGTCTGAGCGGTCGCCTTTTTTAGGGATCGGGTGGACAAAAGCTGTCTTCCATGAATTCGGGACTACGCCTTGGGAGTAGGAGTACCGGAAAAGACGCGTTAGGACCGGTGCCTACTCCGGAGCACACGTCCTCAGCACAATTGGGGGGATTCCGTCAGGCCCACTCGACTTCTGGATGTCCAGGGAGAGAAGTGCTTTGCGAACTGAGCGCTGTGAGAATAGCACATCCGGCATGGAGCACTCACACCGCGGGATGGTCGGCGGTGTTTTCCCCCCGTCATCAAGAGTCGAGTTGGACGCAAAAAGGGAGCCTAAAAGGTCGGCTTTGTCTTTTGCGTCTAGAGCCAGTGAGTCGTCCTCCCTGTGCAGAGACGGTAGTGATGGCTTACAGAAATTCCCTTGGACAGCCTTGGCGAGAGACCAGAATGCACGGGTTCCCGAAGGAAGGCGAACTAGTTTCTCGCCAATTCTGCCTATGTGCTCTGACTTTGCCTTGGCAATAACTCTTTTGAAGGACCTGGAGGCGAAGTTATACTTCTTTTTTAATGTGCTGGTGTTTACATCCCGAGTCACCGAAGCAGCAGCCCAGGCTTGATAACACTCCTGCTTACTGCGCAATACAGTCTTACAGGAGCGACCAAACCAAGGCTGAGATCTGCCTCCGATGGGTACCACAGATGATGGAATAAATAGTTCCATTCCCTGTAGCACCACATTAGTGACAGAGTCAGCAACAGCGCTGGGATCATCCGGCGAGAAGCAAACCCGCCCCCATGGGTAGGATGCAAAGAAAGACCGCATTCCGTCCCAATCCGCCGACCTGTAATGCCAAACACGGCGGCAACCTGCAGAACGCAACCGCGAAGGGAGCGTGAGTGGCACCATACTCCGGATCAGACAATGGCCGGAAGAGCCGAGAGGGGCATCGACGGAAACCTGATATCCGTCCGGATGAGAGGTCAGCAGAAGGTCCAACAGGGAAGGTGTATGATCCTCCACATCTGGAATCCGCGTAGGCGAAGTAACTAGTTGTGTCAGACCATATGCCAAGGCAAAGTCATAAACAGATCTCCCCGCATGATCGGTTAAACGTGAACCGAGCCATTCGGCATGGTGGGCGTTAAAATCGCCAAGGATCACTATCTCTGCGGATGGGACCTGTTGTAGCAAGGAATCTGTAGCCATTTGGACGTGGTCGATGAGTCGGTCTGGTTCGGCATTACCGCTATGGGACCTATAGAGGCACCCGTAGACGCGCGGATGGTCATCGCTGTCTACGCGTAGCCAAAGGATGGACAGGTCCGATCCTTCAAGACTGCCGAGGCGTCGAGAACAGATGTCCTCTCTGACATACACGCAAACTCCAGCTCGAGGCACAAAGGAGTGCTCCAATTTGTACCCTGGGTAGGAGAGATACGAAATATCAGCCGGAGAGGAAACCTGCGTCTCGTTCAGAAAGAGCAAGGTCGGCTTCGCCGTCTCGAGATAGTAGTGCACGGCGTTTAGGTTAGAGTGAAGTCCCCTGATGTTGCAGAAATTCACGGATAGCGTGGCAGGGGTCGCCTTGGTATTGTTGCTCAGTTTGCCCCGAGCAGTTTTGTTTTTGAGCGGAATTTTGCCCCCCCCCCCAGAATACGCGGGGCAGCCTGAGCACCCACGCTCAGGATTGGAATAACATGGTCGTGGATGCTCAGCGAGGGATTCTCCAGGGGTACTGGTACCCTCCTGGGGTAGTCTACTGTGTAATTCCGCTACACACCGTAACACACACAAAAAAAACATACAGTCGAATTGGGTACCTCCTTTTTGAAGTCGGTAGAAAACTATCTTGTCTCGTACTTCTATTATATATTCCTTTATACACTATAAATATTAAATATTTTTGTTTAAATATAATTTATTCATGGGTACCAAAAAAAATATCAAGGAGCATATTTAGGACAATATTCTTTGTAAGTATTTTCCCAAAATTCCATAACTTCCTTGTCTGGTGCTGTTCCGGGGACCAATTGTTCACCTATGTCCAAAAACGCCTGTTCCTCCAAGGAGTATGGCCTCCAAGTGACTCCGAGATAGCTGTCAGGTGTTGGGTTTCTAAAGAATTAATAAGTTTAAATGTTTGTTTTGTCAATTTTTTTTTTCACTTTTACTAATGCGAAAACTAAGATATATTTTCTGAGCAAGTGGATTGTATAGCCACCTATTACCTCTTTCAAAATTTTCCATCTAATTTCATATTATTTTTGGCTTGGTCTCGGTCCGAGTAGCTCACTGCTCCCTGGACTTTGCCTATCCCCTCGGGGATAAAAGGCATGTGTGAGTAGTGGGAACTGGATGCGTGTAGTCGAAGACTGAGCTTAGTGGTGCACCTTGGGAGAGGTCTATGTCCAGCAGTAGACTGCCGCAGGATGATTTATTTATTTATTCTTAATTGCATTCCTTAAAACAAAAGAATGCAAAGGGTGAACTTTATTTTTGAGACATTCTCTACTAGTCAACACATAAAGTGGTGAATGATGACAATAATTTTTATTGTCACTTCTAACATTATCGAGTTTGATTCTCATAAAACTTTGTAAAGAACCAGCATAAAAGCCGTGTCTTGTATGGTGAATCATCAAGGCTTACAATAAATGTATATTTTTATTCTGTCTATCCATTTATTATCAGATATGCCCATTGAACGTTTTTACTAATATAAAATCTTTATCCCGAGTCACGTGAGCGTAGATACAAGTAGAATGCCTGAAAGATACCAAGGCCGTTGATTTCACTGATGCCAAACCTTCAATTCGGAACGCAGATGTCGTCACCAATTCGCTTGACAAGTGTGGCGACTACACAAATAGATATCAAAAATCCTACCCTATCAAAATATTATACTAACAAACTAAGCTATGAACAGTTTGTGGTATTTAGATTTGGTATATTGCATGGATTTTCCATCAGTTGGTTTTCTGGAAGGCATGAAATAATTTAGTTTATTAAACCTGATACTAGAAAAAGTTGATAACTTACCCATATTTGGCGAAGTTTGTCCAAAGTTTAGTCACTTGATCAATCAATTTAAATGTTGGTGTATTCATTTGTACTTTTTCATTATTAATAGCGATCGGAAAGAGGTAAGGCAAATCGTCAGCATGACAAACGACATTCTTCTCTCCAATGATGTCGACAACACCCAGCAGGTATTTGAATACGTTTCTTTCTGACTTGCAAGTGAATTTGTAAAGGTAAGTTTTGTTTTTGCATGAGCTTGTGCAAATTTTTTGCCAAAGAACGGCAGGGTAGCTAAACCCTTCTGCACCCAAATATTGACATAGTTTATCCACATTTTTTATAGACACATCTTCACCATTAAAATAGAATTCCTTAATTAATTTACCTATCTTAACTTGCTCGGTTGCTGTACAAGTTAAAGCAAAAGGTCTCGGAACAAAATATTCATAAAATTTGTTTGCTTGAGAAAACATGTTATTGACATTTAAACCGACGCCTAACATTAAAACTCCTTCATCTTCTGTGTATCCATTTATGACTTCTACCCCTTCGTGAATACCGTTACGCAAAATATCTACTGGATCCCCATGTAAGAACCTTTCGTTACCACCAAATTCTTTTTCACTGACGACGCAGAAGTAAATTAGAGGAAACTCTTTATTTGCTTCAGCGTAGAATAGTGGAACTCGTTTTTTAATCAATGCTTCTACAGGTTGAGATTTAAAGAATTCATATACCTCTTTCTCGTCCTTCGAGTTGCATCCCATTTCTTTAGCTACAGCTAATGATCTTTCTTTTGCCATGAAACTTGTTGGCCAATAACATGCCGCATTACCACTCTGCGATATTGCTCTTTTGAATAATCCTTTGCTCATCGGTGATATCAGGTGCAAAGAAACGCTAGCTCCTCCAGCACTTTCACCGAATATTGTAACATTGTCGGGATCACCACCGAATCTACAGATATTTTTCTTGACCCATATGAGCGCAGCTACCTGGTCTTTCATGCCGGCATTTCCAGGCACATCTTCGGTTTCAAGACAAAGAAAACCGAGAATCTCAAGTCTATAATTTAATGTTACTAGAATGACGTCTTGTCTAATTAGAAAATTGGGCGCGTATATGACGTCAGATCCACTTCCGCTCGTAAAACCTCCACCATGAATCCATACCATAACTGGTAAAGGTTTTGTAGGTGTGATATTTGGAGAGTAGACATTGAGGTATAAACAGTCCTCGCTGCCATGTGGTGCCATACCAGTGAACAATTCAATATGGTAGCAATCATTTCCACATGTTTTTGCTTCCCGTACTCCGCTCCATGGTTTTGGTGGTTGCGGTGCCTTAGAAAAATACATTATCAATTCAAATACAGGTAATAACAATTATTTATAATCTTTTTCTTTTTTTGAGAATAGTAGGTTGATAATTTTCATTTCTTTTAAAAAAAAATTGTTACACTAATGTTTGTTTCTGTATAGTGGAGGCATTTTACATACATACTACACACGGAGAAAGACTTAGGCTCAGAACAATTGCATGTGAACATGTATCCACGGCCGGAACAAACATGATTAAGACAAAAATGATTGAAAGGAATAAATAAACAATTAAATACATTTCTATAATTTTTTAGATTTGTCTGTCTGTCAGTCTGGTTGTTTATGTCATTTAAAGTTTTAATATTTTTCAAAAGAAACGTTAAGAAAATGTATAGTATATTACGTAATTGATATATAAATACCATAGTGGTATGGTTTCTAATGACAATGGCGTTGATAGTTTTAAGTTCACTCATCATCATAATTACAGATGTTTACAAGTAAACTGCCGAATACAGCCTCTCTTACCAGAGAGACATCTAGCGGGGTAGAGCTGCAATAAACTTCGTATAAGGCTGCCAATCGAGAACCTTTCTTTACTATCGGTTATCGATTCTTTGAGCTGTATGGCTTTATTTTTTTTTAATCTTTATTTTCAAAAAAGGGGTTTTGTATGGCTTTATTTAGTTTTGAAGAATACGTAATGAAAAGATGTCTCGTAATCTAGCTAACGCTGCCCAGCAGAGTTGGATCCATCGATTGACCTGTTGGCCAATTTATCCTAAGTAAGCATACTCGTCAACAACCTTGAGCGTAGAGTTCCCAACTATTGGCATATGGACGTAGCTCATGACCTTTGCTTGTCCGTGTTCATTTTAAAACCTATCTGCGGGGTCATTGAGTATAGTGCTAATCCTACAGTGCGTAAGTTCACTAATTACCTTAAACCTCAAGTCTCCAACGGGTGGCTGAGCATATGGAATGCCTTTAAAGCTATAGATTTTCCCTCCATACTCATTGTTTTTTACTTCCCCCTCCAATATACCTTCACTAACTTGCACTTGAATCATTTCACTGTGTTTACTGAACTTAATTATTTACTCTAAATTCACATATAATCACTTGTTTACAAACAAATCTGTTTTGAAGTATAATATTTATTATTATACAATGTGTTAATTTTACACTTGATCAAACGAAATGTGCGGATACTAGATAAAAAATTATCGGTAAAAAATCGAAAAAAATTTTTTTTATGTAAACTGTTTAAAAAATAAAAGCATTTGAATTTTGTTTTTGTTAAAATTCCCATCCTTCGGTTTTAAATTATTTTCTCTTTAAGTAAACGGTGTATTTTTTTCAAAGTAGTTTTATTTGAAAGTTAGAAAGATTAACTAGCAATAAAAATTAAAAAAACCTACGATATCAAGCAGGAAATTTGTCAAAAAAATAATAAGATAATTTTTTTTGTTAAAAAAATACTTTTCTTTTTAATTTTTGGTCTGTAACTTCAAAACTAGTACGTTGAGATAACCTTTTTAGCATGTTTTATTAAACTACGTAGCTTACTGTATAAGTTCTCTAAAATAACATGCGTTCTATCTTTTTTCGTTGTTAAGATAATCACTAAAAATAAGGTAGGTAATCTGAGCACAAAATTCAAAAGTGATTTAATAATGATTTAATTGTCAAAATTATGGAATAAAACAAAAGAAACCGTAGAAAAATGATTTAATTTATTAAATTTTCAAAATGACCACCATTTTCATCCATACATACAGTTGTACGTAATGCCACACTGCGTACTGTTTTTTTTAATACAGTACGATTTTCTTTTATTTGACTAGCCGCAGCCATTACTTTTTGTAACAATTCTTCTCTTGTACTAATTGGAGTACTGTACACAATCTGTTTCATGTGGCCCCACAAAAAAAATCTAGGGGGGTCATATCAGGGCTTCGTGCCGGCCACGCTACTGGTCCGCCTCGTCCAATCCATCTGTCTCCGTATAGTTCGTTTAAATAATCACGCACGATGGTGCTGAAGTGAGCTGGAGCGCCGTCATGCTGAAACCACATCTTCCTCTTTGTTTGTAGATCCACATCACTCATCAGGTCAGGTAACTCTTCTTGTAGAAATGTTAGGTAAGCTGGGCCTGTCAACCTTGACGGAAGAATAAATGGTCCGATTAAGTAATCACTTATCATTCCAGCCCAAACATTAATCGAAAATTCGATTTGAAAGGACGCTGGCCGAACTGCTAAGGGATTTTTTTCCTCCGGCATCCACAAGTGAAGGTTTCGAAAATTTGTGATTCCAGTTCTGTTAAAATTTGCCTCATCGGTCCACAAAATACGGTCACAGAATTTCGGGACTAATCGTCTTTGCCGCAATAGCCACGAACAGAAAACACTTCTTCCGACGTAATCTGGCTCGTGCAAATTCTGCACTCTTCGAAAATGAAAAGGGTACAAACATTCCTTTTTCAAAATTTTCCACACTTGGACGTGATTAATCCCCAATTGGAGTGCTATTCGTCGAGTACTAATTATGGGGTCTTGGTACACCAAACGCAACACTTGTTCATCCACATCCACCGGTACAGTAGAAGCACGTTCACGATGTGGGCGATGCAGTCCATTTTCACTTAATTCTCGATGTACTGCTAAGAAAACCCTGTAGTCAACGGCAGGTCTTGTCGGGAATCGCTGATGATACTCTCGAGAGGCGGCGCGAGCGTTGCCATCACAAAACCCGTAAATGTAATGAATGTCAGCTACTTCACGAGCAGACAATGAGTCTATCGTAGAAGGCATAACGACGAAAAAAATGGTGAGCGTATTCAACGTGCAAATTAGGTAACGTTACAAGATGAACTGTTTAAAATAGCTAAAGCTGCCTGCATGCCTTACGAGAACGAGACCCAAATTTCATTCAAACGACAATTCACTCTCTCACTCACTTGTTTCGCCTTTTATTGATCTATCTCTTTTTATCTTTACCTGCTATTGTTCGACCAGGGGTGTTCAAATTAGAGGTAGGTGGGGCGCATAAGCGCAAATCAACATACCGATGGCATTCTTTGATGATTATTATTTTAAAAATGAAAGGAGATAGAACGCATGTTATTTTGGAGAACTTGTACAATAAGCTACGTAGTTTAATAAAACATGCTAAAAAGGTTATCTCAATGTACTAGTTTTGAAGTTACAGACCAAAAATTAAAAAGAAAAGTATTTTTTTAACAAAAAAAATTATATTATTATTTTTTTGACAAATTTCCTGCTTGATGTCGTAGGTTTTTTTAATTTTTATTGCTAGTTAATCTTTCTAACTTCCAAATAAAACTACTTTGAAAAAAATACACCGTTTACTTAAAGAGAAAATAATTTAAAACCGAAGGATGGGAATTTTAACAAAAAAAAAATTCAAATGCTTTTATTTTTTAAACAGTTTACATAAAAAAATTTTTTTTCGATTTTTTACCGATAATTTTTTATCTAGTATCCGCACATTTCGTTTGATCAAGTGTAAAATTAACACATTGTATATTATATAATGTGTAAAATGTGTTTAACTGTCCTCACTCAGCATATTTCAGACTGTTGACGCAAATAGATATTAAAGTTTTATATCGATGATAAGAAGATATTTAAGTGCCTAAATATTGGATAAAAATCATATCAGTATTAGAGCTATCAAAAATGAACTTTATACTCGTAGCTATGATCAATGACCTTGGACATTGTTTTTTTTATAGGATAAGTATAAACGAGCGCACAGTCCACCTGATGGTAAGTTGTTGTTGTGGCCCAAAGAAATCTACATATAACCTCGATTACGAAACAAAACGCGGATGCGCTGTCACTCGTCAGGAGTAGATGGAATGCCTCTTTGCCAGTAAAGAGGGTCTCCGGCTCTCTACACTCACCACACGAAACACAGCAGCATTAAGCTGCTATTTTACACTGGTATTCTGTGAGAGCGTGGTCCTTCCCCGGTGGAGCCGACCCATCCGTGTTATAACTATACTACTTATATATCTGCAGCAATCTAATCTACAAAAATCTATAAACTGTAATTATTGTAAATTAATTGTAACATAGCTTTAAAAATACACCCTAGAGTTTCTTGCCGGTTCTTCTCAGAGAAGGTCTTGTTTTATTAGGTAACCTTCATTATAGCTATATAGAAAGCTATATATTTTTTATGTTGTAGAGCCATTCTGTAGCTATTCTGTATATATTATGGTTGTAGCACGACAGGGTCGGGCCGACCGGGAAAGGACCACTCTCTCATAGAAATAAAAAAAACCGGCCAAGTGCGAGTCGAACTCGCGCACCGAGGGTTCCGAACAAATCCGTAGGTTTAAAATTATTAAAAATATTTTTATTATATGATGTAAGTAAAAATTTATGCTTTTCTCAATTATTCTTTTATCTGTGCAATAATACGTTGCTTGGTACCAAATTTTAAGATTCTGAGTTCACGGGAAGTACCCTGTAGGTTTTGATTCCCTTGCGAATGTCGAAAATTTGCGGCATAAACGGCTGTATCTTTAGATTGCGTTGGCTTAGAAGTTTGACTTTTTCACAGCTCAAAGTGACAGTAGGATTGAGTATTTGATATGAATTTCAGCTTGATACCTCCACGCGACAGACAGACGGACAACAAAGTGATCCTATAAGTGTTCCGTTTTTTCCTCTTGAGGTACGGAACCCTAAAAACGTAAGATACCAGCTTAATACTTCCGTGTTTCGTATGATGACTGTAGAAAACCGAAGACTCTTAATACTGGGCATTCGAACTTAGTCCTCAGCGGTGACAACGCATATGCATTTTGATTCTAAATCAATCCATTTTAGTCATTCTATAAAAAAAAGTAGAAACCTAAACAGAATTAAAAAAAAATACATTGAATTTGACTCCGATAGCACAAGCCGAAGATAACGTTACAGCCTATGTACATCCCGAGACTCTCATTCCTGAGAGGTTTTTTACAGCAGCGAGTGGCCGCCACGATGCCACAATGCGTGTTGGCGTACTTCACATTTCTGAAATATATTTATTTCTCAGATGCAGGTTCGTGTCACAGTATTTTGTGTTAGCATTATTAGTGTGAATTAGGTGTAAATAGATATACTATGAATAGATTTTGTCAGTAGTACTTTAAATTTCAGATGATTGCCATAATAAATTCTTTGCATATCAACATTATTATGTGAGAGGAAGTTCATTTCGAAACGGTAGTAGATTTAAAAAAGAAAAAAAAATATTCTTTTTTACGTCGAAGAGCTAAATATTATTTAAACTCCGTATGAAAATATTTTATTAGAGTCAATGAGTTTTTATTCTTATCAATAACGTTAATAAATTCAACCATGAAGCTAAATTTGATAGAATACGAACAAAAACCTCATAAAGATGTTTTATAACCACTGTCGTCAACATTATGTTGCGCTTTTTTATTTTAGTTACGTGTTGCTTGTTTAATAGATAAATTATACTAATCAATAGAATTCTTCCGGCTTATTTTGAATCTAATTCCATTGTAATTACTTCGTATAGATAGATAAATTATTATTAATATTTCACATACTACAAAGATACACGAAATAAGTTATAATAAATATTAAAATTTAAAAAAAAATGTTAAGAGTTTAAGATTGTATAACAACAGATACTCACGTACGTTGTTGGTTGCCTGGAAGAGATCGCTATGTAGCGATAACGCCGCCAAATTGTACATATAATCTGCTTTTTGTTATGTTATTTGTGTATTTGTTTGTGGTGTATAATAAAGTATTTTCATTCATTCATTCATTCATACGTTGGTATAACTATTGAGACTATAATTTCCTTTCCTTCTCCCTTATATCTACTTCTTTGGTCTAGCGATCGTAAACGCTACTGTTGATCATGAGAATCACATGGGGAACACCAGGTTTGAATTGCGGGTTAGGCCAAAAATTTGTAATTGGATTTTATTTTGTTCAGAGAATCTTATCAGCAGAGCGGAGTCAGGTAGTTAGCGGTGGTTCACCCCCGTATCCCGAACGCACGTAAAGCC